CATAAGAAATAGTTTGAGCTACAGCTCGTAATCCTCCTAATAAAGCATAATTAGAATTTGAAGATCACCCCGCAACTATTACCGTAAATACTCCAACTCTTGTACAACATAAAAAAATAAAATTCCTAAATTAAATCTAATTAAATTAAAATAATAAGGAATTAACAATCAAGATATTAAAATAACAATAAGTCTAACTACTGGAGAAAAATAATAAACTATATAATTAGAATAACTCGGGAAAGTCTGTTCTTTATTAAATAACTTTACAACATCAGCAAAAGGTTGTAAAATTCCTATATAACCAACTTTATTAGGACCTTTCCGAATTTGAATATATCCTAAAACTTGACGTTTTAATAAAGTTAAAAAAGCAACCCCCCACTATTACCCCAACAATTATAATTAAAACACCAATTATATATAAATATATATCTTTAATTATCATTTACTATATATATAAATAAATTATATATTAATGACTTCTAAAATCATCACATTTTTTCTGCCAAAATAGTTATTATTAACTATTAATAATATTCATTATATTAAAATTATTTTTAATATTTGATCCTTTCGTACTAAAATATTATAATTATTTAAAGATAGAAACCAACCTGGTTTACACCGGTTTGAACTCAGATCATGTAAGATTTTAATGATCGAACAGATCAAAATTTTAAACTTTTGCATTTAAATTTTATCTTAATCCAACATCGAGGTCGCAAACTTTTTTTCCTATTTGAACTAAAAAAAAAAAATTACGCTGTTATCCCTAAGTTAATTTTTTCTTTTAATCATTATTAATGGATCATTTAATCATAAATTAATGTTAATAAATAAAAAAAGTTAATTTAATTTTTCTATCACCCCAACAAAATAATTTATTTAATTTTAATTTTAAAAATTATATATTAATAATAATTAAATAAATTATTAAACTCTATAGGGTCTTCTCGTCTTTTAAAATTATTTTAGCTTTTTTACTAAAAAAATTAATTTCTATAAATTAACTAGAGACAGTATATATTTCATCCAATCTTTCATACAAGTCACTAATTAAGAGACTATTGATTATGCTACCTTTGTACAGTCAAAATACTGCAGCCCTTTAA